CCGAACTCTTTTCCTCAGGATCTCTTGAATGAAATTACAGAACAAAGTGCATGATTCAAAACTCCTTCATAAAACTAAAGAAGAAAGAGAGTATGCTGTGATACCACCCATCGATATAGTGAAGTGAGAAGGGGCAATGAAGCATAGAACAGACTTGACGAAATGACTAAAGACTAAAGCTAGAACAGAAAATGAGGAATGCAAAAAGAAGGACATTGCGGTCAGTGATCTCGATAGCTGCGTGTAGCTCTCGCACGCCATCCCGATGAGCGGCCCAAGGCGGCGTTGGAGTCATCGGTCACGACATTTAGTGGCTGGAACACAGGGCAATCACCAGGGAGGAAGCTGTCTAGGGCCATGACTGCTCCTGCAGCATGCAGGCCTCTGTGTCTCTGGTGCCGCAGCACATGTCAAGGGAGGACTCTGCCCCGGCGTGCGCAAGTCAGCTATGCCCATACAAATTGAACTTGTCTCCTCTGTGACCATATCTACGGCCAAATTCGAATAATCCTGCAAAAGTCGAGGAGCAAGCTGCTGGCCCGGATCAGTTAGACAACAAGGAAACGAAACACCTCCTGGCTCCACCCCACATCCCAGGCACTACCGACTTAGTGAATTTGCCGAGTGCCAGGGGCACTCGGCAAAGCCCAATTTGCACTCGGCAAAGGCTTTGCCGAGTGCTGCACTCGGCAAAGAGCACTCGGCAAAAAAAGAGTCGGCAAAGATGTCTTTGCCGAGTGTCTTTTGTCGGGCACTCGGCAAAGCCTTTGCCGAGTGCCGACACTCGGTAAAGTTGGAACCGAAAAAAAAACCCGAAAAAATGGGAATTTTTACCCAAAAAAAATGGATTTTTTTTTAATTGGTGGAGGCCCCCACCGGTCAGCGCCCATCCATCTCCGGCTTTTTTTCACAGAATTTCATGGCTACGCTGACCGACGGGATTCGAACCCAAGACCTTCCAACAAGCACAAACCTCCTCTACCACTACTACACTACACCGTCACTTGTGTCTAGATTCATTTTAATTTTCAATATATTATACTAAACCGAGTGTAAATTGTTTGTTTGAGGCCCTAAACGAATTCAAATAAAAAGTTGTGAACTACAAAGTTTCATAACTTTTCGAGATCTACACTTTTAGTTTAGTAAGTTTTTCCATTCGAGGTCGTTTATAAAATTTGAATTTTAAAATTTTGAAATTCAAACACGCTTTTGCATGACAAGATGTTTTCAAATCAAAAAGTTGCCAACTACAATGTTTCATAACTTTTGGAGATCTACAATTTTTATTTAGGAAGTTTTTCCATCCGAGGTCTTTTGAAAAATTCAAATTTTAAAATTTTCAAATTCAAACGTCGTTTTTGCATGACAAAATGATTTCAAATCAAAATGTTGCCAACTACAAAATTTCATAACTTCTCAAGATCTACAAAGTTTATTTTGGTCATTTGTTCATCCGACATAGTGGTAGTAACATTGTTCACAAATCATATATATCTCTCTTCTACTTTCATGAAACTAATATGAGAGATGTATATTTTATGAACAACGTTATTATCGCTTTGTCAAATGAAGAAATAACCAAAATAAATTTTGTAGATCTTGAGAAGTTATACAACTTTGTAGTTGAAAAGTTTTTCATTTGAATTCATTTAGGGCCTCAAAAATTGATTCGAAAAACTGATTTGCCGAGGGCCAAAAAAATGCACACGGCAAAATGCCTCTTTGCCGAGTGGCAAAACATAGGCACTCGGCAAAATACGGCTTTGCCGAGTGCTAGAAAAAAGGCACTCGGCAAACTGAAAGTAAATTGTTTGTTTGAGGCCCTAAATGAATTCAAATCAAAAAGTGGTCAACTACAAAGTTTCATAACTTTTTGAGATCTACAATTTTCATTTAGTAAGTTTTTCCATCCGAGGTCGTTTGAAAAATTTGAATTTTAAATTTGAGAGATTCAAACGTAGTTTTGCATGATAAGATGATTTCAAATCAAAAAGTTGTCAACTACATAGTTTCATAACTTTTGGAGATCTACAATTTTCATTTAGGAAGTTTTTTCATCCGAGGTCGTTTGAAAAATTCAAATTTTAAAATTTTCAAATTCAAACGTCGTTTTTGCATGACAAGATGATTTCAAATCAAAATGTTGCCAACTATAAAATTTCATAACTTATCAAGATCTACAAAGTTTATTTTGGTCATTTATTCATCCGACATAGTGGTAGTAACATTGTTCACAAATCTTATATATCTATCTTCTACTTTCATGAAACTAATATGAGAGATATGAGAGATGTAGATTTTTTGAACAACGTTATTGTCGCTTTGTCAAATGAAGAAATGACCAAAATAAACTTTGTAGATCTTGAGAAGTTATACAACTTTGTAGTTGAAAAGTTTTTCATTTGAATTCATTTAGGGCCTCAAATATTGCTTCGAAAAAATGATTTGCCGAGGGCCAAAAAAAAATGCATATGGCAAAAAGCCTCTTTGCCGAGTACAAAGGCACTCGGTAAAGACGTATTTTGCTGTGTGTTTTTGTTTGCCGAGTGTATTTTATTTGGCACTCGGCAAACACGGTCTTTGCCGAGTGTCCGATAAAATACACTCGGCAAAGCCTCGGCACTCGGCAAATCGCCGGTTTCCGGTAGTGAGGTTAGGCCACACAGGGAACCAATCACACCCTGGTCGCCTGTTCTGTCTGTTAGGTTGATTTGACTAGTTTTACCATACTTCGAGAATGAGTGACCTATAATTTACTAGTATCACTAATTCCATATGTAATGGAAAAACATGTAAAATGAAATTTGATCCCTAATACTGGGTCCTATACACAAAAGTTCATTTCAAAGTATCCACTCGATATCACATCAAATACATGAGCTATGTCCTTGTAGCCTCCATGCACAGTATAGCCGCAACAGCTTAGCATGCATATAATTTTATTTTTACTCATTATTTCAGGTTGTACTTATGCTGTGTAACCTGGCTGTTTGCATTATTAATTACTAATAAGTTTATTTTCGTCTATGTAGCCAAGAAGAATCCATTAGTTTATGGAATGCTACCTTTAAGAATTTTTTTCTTGTGCTTAGATGTATATTATATTCATGTTCTTCCAGTTAGTATGACTTATTTCAAATACATATATGTACAATTAATCAATTATTATATGGCATTATAAAGGATATAGAACAGGAGGGAGCAATAACAGAATCAGAGACAAAATAATTCTTGATTTATGATGAAACATTCAATCATTTCTCCAGCTACCATCGATGCACAATATTGGAAAATCCGTTTCATTTAGTAATATTGTTCTGGATAATGTTTGGAAAAGCCTTTTCGTCTATAATCATTGCATAGTTTTCATCGTCACAGACCTACTTATATATGCCGGTAGCATGTATAGTAGCTAGAATTCAGTTTTACCATCAGATGTCTCTGGAAGAATATATGTTTTCCACTTAGAATTTAATTAGAACATTTGTAAACACATATAATTATTAAGTCACTAAAAACTTAGCTGGATGACAGTGAAATCCTTCATAATAATGTGCACTGCATCAAGATCTTTTAATTAACAAACAGCAAATGTCAGTAGCTCCACAAATTCAGTAAAAGATCTTAGCCTGTGCAGATATTGTGATATATTGATCTGAGTTGACACTATGCTGTTTGTTCAAGGAAGATGGTTCAGATTTTTCTATTTTTTTGGCTTAATATTGCCAATAACAACAAATGCCTTATTGATTTCCATTGTATAATGTGCCCTCTGTGTGCATGCTGAGATATATCCTTGCTAGTTTCTGTCACATGAAAAGTGAAAACCATTACAATTTATTTGAATTTGTACCATTATTATTATTATACGTTTGCTTGTTGAAAAACTAGGTAGATTAAGATGTATTTTTACGCCTACTGTGGGATAATTGACTGGTATAATTCTGGAATACACATTTGGTGCTCATTCAAAAAATTTTAATAGAAGATACATGCTCTCCCATGCATATTCTTCCTTGTTTATATATGCGTTTTAATATCCTTTACATTCTACTTGTCTTTAAATGTAACAGGATCGGAAGAAGCGGCATAAAACTATTGGCGAGATCGTCTCTAGAACCAAGTGAAACAATAGAGGAGAGGTTAGTAAGTAAAGGAATTCTTAGATATTATATCCACACTTAGCTTGCTTCCTACATAATTTATTTTCTATTTTTATGCCATTTATATGCATGGTGGATATGCATGAGGTCATCCCATATATTACAAATGTTCCTACTTGATCTTAGATCATAGTCCTTTCTAGGTCTATTTATTTGCCTGTACGTATGACCTTTTCTACGTGGATTACGAATAGCAATCAATGAAACTGAAGAAAATGAAATTTGGGTCACCTTTACTACCCATAAAATTTATAATTCCTCTTCTATATGATATATTTATAGAATCATTAAGTTTCAATTGCTCTGCATTTAGAAAGTATGTTATGTGTTTACCATCTATCTAATTTCTTTCCATATTTCCATTGTTGAATCCATCCAGTTTTGTTTATTGCATGCCCTGAACTGAGGGAAGGATTGTTCTTCAAGACACTTCATATAAATGGAGCAACAAGCTGGTTCTGTTACTACTGCTGTCCCTACTTCATTTGCCCCTGCAGTACCATCCCATGCCATCAAGCGTTTTTCCAACAATCATGTTCCAGACACGATTGATCTCAGAGGAGACACAAAAATTATTGTATGTGCCCTTGCTGCTCCAGGCAATCCAGTTCCTGGCCCATTTCGAGCAGAACGCGAACGTCGAACGTTCTGGACAGCATGTGCAAATTGCAAGAAAAAGAATAAACATTCCATAGAGTATCTGTTGGTTGCAACATTTCTTGCCTTCAATGCAGTGAAACATTCAAAGCCACTGAAGTATCAAGACCTCGAAACCAACGTACAACCACTACAGAGAATGTTCACTCTGGAGCAATTGTTTCATCTCCAGGGACCATGGTGGAACCTAGCAAAATGACACCAACTGTGGAGACTTCTCTCCGAAAGAAGGTTAAAAGGGAGATCAATGCAACACAGGCTGGAGGCAAACATAGAAACAATCAGCTTCAGGGTAGCTTTGATGTACAAAAAAGAAATACAACTATGGAGCATAACATTACTAGAGGAAAGGCTCATCATGAGGAGCCAGATCCAACAAATATTAGAAAGAGAATCCCCAAGGATGAGATAAAGAAGTTTTTTATGTCCAAGGGGAATAAGGTCATTGAAGCAACAATCAAAGGAAACAATGTGAAAAAAACTGAAAGTGAGAAGCGAACCCCACGGTAATATCTATATGTGTTTTAATGTCCTATTACTATTGTTCTAGGAATCTGTGTTACTTCTATTACAAATGGTTTTCTGTTCTAGTTTCATGGCTGAATAAGTTTAAACGAAAATTCAGCAATATAAATATATCTTTCTTTTACTGGTTGTCTTATTGGTGAATCTGTACAATTTATCTAGCTTTAGTATTGTCCCATGAGTAAAAATTAATGCATGTTTTGCAAGCAACCATGATTTTTTTTGTCTCTATGATCCTAATCAATTACTCTTATGTTACACTACTTCACAATATGAAATCCTGCAGTGTGAAAAAACCGATAATTACTTTCTGCATCTCTAGATTAGACATGTCTTATTACTTTGTTATATTACAAGTCTTGTTACGATGAATTTTATTTTTGGTATGAGCATGCATTATACTATTTTGTGTGGTATGAGTATGAATTATGTCATCGTATTAGACTAAATTTGCTATTTATCTACTACATTTGACACACATACTGGCTTCTGTAAAAATTCAAAAGGCATTAAAATGCTGACTTATTTGCTTCAGAAATTTGTATTGCAAGGAATAACTTGCTAGAGATATCTATGATAGCTTTCATTGATACCTTTCAAGGAATCATATGCCCTGGTTATGATTAATTATCTGCTCTAATTCTATAACTAATTCTAGCTCATGTTTTATTTCTTGTGGTTGCTGTAGATGAAGAACACAATGGCAGCACTTAAGGACCTGTGTGTTCTAGTCAGTTTCAACATCCCAAGAAGAAATTCCAAATGAAAGATTCTTCTATGAGGAATGCTCAACTTTAGTTTCTGAATCAAAAACTTTTTTTACATCCAATAACTTGGATTTTATAACAAGGTTGCTGTCGGGGGTATAAATGAATCTATTACCTTCAATTATGCTTTTGGATTTTTTTTGGCAAGAACATTGTTAGGTGCTTTTGTCCTGAGAAATTATTGCACTTGAACGTCACAATAATATACCTTTCTGCATGTCTTTCTCACATCCAGAAATGATTCAGATGTCTGGCTATGCTTGAACTCCCCCTACATCTGATCATCTGGCTTGCTGGTTTTTGCTAAAATGTATTATAAGTGGATTACTAGATCAACCTTTCCTTTCATTTTATTCAAACAAGAACAAGAGAGGTGTCTTGAGATATTTCTTATCACTGTTTACATGTAAACCTTCCAGAGTTGGTACGACTAAGTAAAGTACCTACTCCATTGAACCCTAAAAAACATTCACTAACCTTCATATGAAAAAAGAAATTGAGGATTAGACTACATGAGATTATTGTGTTGTTGTCTTCTACCATGCTACAATCTCAGCTTGTACATGCCATGTGAAAGAAAAGCAGAGTCTTGAAGTTGCTTTTTATGTCCTGACAGATTTGTGGATATTAACAACAGGCACAGACATGTCCAGCCAAAACAAGGGTAATCTGAAAGACTTGAATTTTTGTACCAACACCAAGTGATACATCTGTCTACTACTTCTGACACACTGTGCAAATTTATTTGAGAAAAAATATGCCTTCTAAGTTAAGCGCATCATTACGACATGTCCTATTGCAAGCATCCTTTACATTATGCAAACTCAAGCCAAAACAATGTAGGTAATTCACAATGTAGTCTGCTGCTTCTTCTGAAGTCTAAACTTACAATGAGATTGTGTGTTTATTTGAATGCAATAAACTGTTGCTTTTTTGGTGAATAGGTGGGCATTCTGCCTACTGGATATATCTTATATATAAGAAAGGGGAACTAGGTTTTAGAAAAACAATAAAGAATCTAAAAAGGAAACCAAAAAGATGAACACCATTTCAGAAAAGATCCTAGGCCTTGAACATAACATGAGCAAACTCTTTCTGGAAAATGTGTTGCATGCATCCATTAACAGAGGTCAAATTCCTCTGAAAATCTGATCATTTCGAACTGACCAAAAATAGACCAGCACATGACCATGATTATCTCCATGAAAAACATGTCCCTAAGTTGATGTTCAAAATGTGCAAAAACTGTAATAGTGGGCTTTGAGCAACCACCAGTTAAATACCACAAAAGGGCAGGTGATTCAAAGCACTTTTGACTTCACATTCTCTGATATCATTCAACATGGTAAAAGCCTCCGCCACCATGGGCCAATTTTTAGGAGCATTGTTAGTACTCAGTCCACTAACATATATATCATTTCCCTGTGCCCCTTGGCCACTTCCATCTCCAACCCTCGTGCTTGGATACATACCCATACGTCGGTCCATGATCATAAAGGCTTTGCTCCACTTATCCACCAAATCGATCACCTTATAGAAAACATTTTTGCAACAGCATTTTCCACAATGGTTCATTAAAAACCTCTTTCCATAAAATATCAGCAAGTTTGTAATATAAGTCGGTTGTGGAAATGATTTTCACCAATAGTTATAGTCATACAGTAACATATGAATGCAATACTTAACATAATCAACTTGTGCATTTTAGCAAAGAGAGGGATGCATAGGGACCTGCCTTGAGACTGATCTGCTGGGGGTTCATCAACAACTTCAACGGTTTGAGTCTCCTCAAGTTGGACCTCCTCGGAGCCCTCGTCACCTAATGATTGCATGATGAAACATGATTACAGTGCATGAGTAAATGACATGATATCACATGATATGCATTGGTGTTCTATGTTTAGGTTACATGTATATATAACATATGTGTGTAGCATAGTACATCATTATTCTATCAGCTACTTTGACGGACGATCCGTCACATCACCGGATGGTCCGTGGGGACGATCCGCCAAAGCATTTGTGAAATTTTCTAAGTGCTGGTCCATGAAGACGATCCATCCATACCGCAGATAATCTGACGATTTCACGGATGATCCGTGAGATCAGGGACTTAAGCTCTAAATGACTAAATCCAAGACCGCTCGCGGACGATTTGTCGTGAGTGGCAGACAATCTATGAATGCGTGTTTATAGGCTCTAAGTGTTCCATGTCTGTAGGTGTTTCAGCAGAACGTTCAGACGTGATTGGCGGATGCTACATGGTGACAAGTTTGTAGCCCTTAAGTTTTCTAAGTCTGTAGCTCTCCTCACGGAACAATCAGTCATGACGGTGGATGATCCGTGGGGAATTGGCTACCTTCGGGTTTGGAAAGGTGATTGATTTAATCGGATGGTGCACAGTAATAGCGGACGCTCCATCAAATCAAGTCTGTAAATTCTAACTTTTCTAAGTCTATGGATGTTTTCACGGGATGTTTCGTTGTGGTGGTGGATGATCCGATCCGTAAAAACAATGAGTGAACAGCAGCGGACTACATTGTGAATCCAAGATCCGCAGCGGACGATCTGTGGAAACATGTGTAGTGCAGAAATGAGCATCTCGAAATGGAGATCTTCATCCATAGTGTCTGCATGTCCAATCCATGGCTAGGGTACGTTTCTAGGATACTATGGAACATATCTAGCTAGTGAATGAACATACATTGTGTGCATTATCATCTAGGTCAACTGTGGTCATTTCTAGGTGAACAGCAATGTGATTCATGAAAATGTGGATTGAACTCGATCCAAACTCACCAAAGGCTGCTAAAGGTTGTTGTTGAGCTCCTCAAACTGGTGGAGAAACTAGATCTAACCTCCAGTACCTCGAACTTCTTCTTGAAATCTCCACCTCTAGTTCTGTAACACCCTGAAAATTGCTCCATTGAAATAGAGAGAAATTTTATTTAATTTTGGATTTATGTGATCATGAAAATATAGGGAAATAATATTTTTTCATAAAATTAAAATTCATCATAGGAGTTAGCAACATTGTTGATGGATACATGCTGCTGCATATTTTTTTGTACTGTTGTTTAGACTCAAATCAAAACACTGATTCAAAATTGCTTTTGAAAATAATTTGAAAATGGTTTGGAAACAAAAGAAAAACAAAATAAATTGGATAACTCTCCTCTCCTCCCTTTTGGCCCAAAGGCCCAAACTTTCCCTCTTCCGGCCTGCTCCCTCTCCTCTCGCTGAAGCCCAGCCCCGGCCTCTTCCCACGCGGCCCGTCGACTCCCTTCTCCTTTCGGCCATTCGCCCGCAGGCCCAACAGCAGGCCGGGCACAGCTAGCATCAGGCCCGCACGTGTTTGACTGATGTTCAGGTCCCACCTCCCTGTTTCTCTGCCTGCTGGAGCCCATGCGTCAGCTCTATCCCCTACCTCCAGTCGTAGTCAAGCAGGACTCTGCTCCTACCATCGAATCCTGATTTCCCCGGGACATGGCATGATCTCTAAGCCTAGCGCCCCTATATAAGTCGAGCCCCTATGCCCGCCTTTTATAGGCTGAGGTGGAAAATACTATATAAGTTGTACATGTTTTGTGTTCTAAATAAAAGCAACTATTTTCCACCTCGGCCTTTTATAGATAAAATAAGACTAGTTTTATCTTGGTTTTTCTAATTCAGATATAATTTGACTTAATTCAATTTAGGTATTTATCTGAAATATCTTATACATGCTTTCATATAATTAAAATAAATGAAGTTTAAAGTTTTCTCCTTCTCTTATAAAGTAAATCTTCTGGTAGTCATTTTTCTTTGGCCGTAGTTCCGATTAGCATGCTTTTCACGTCTGTGTGCTCGTAGCAATGCATAGATTAGTTTTCAAACCTTTTCAGTGATTGTTGTATTGTTCTAATTTAGTCATTTTTGTATGTTATATGCATGTCTGTTCGGATGCTTATGTGGTGCTTTATGATTATGTCCAGTCGGTGAGCTTTACTCGTTGATTAAGAAGCAATCCTTTGAAGGTTACGAATCAGCAAAAGATCAGAGTTTAAGGCAAGTATAGCATGCAATTATCCTTGTTACCTATTCATCTTTAATCACTTAATTCATGTGCTTGTGTCTACCTTGTTAACCCTAAGGATAACCTAGAATTTGTACTTTGTACCTTGACACCGTGGGTTATTTGCATTGGCCAGTATTTTGCTAGTGCTCAAATTAAATAACCATGATCTATAACTTGACTAATGGTATATGCAATAAATGTTAAAATATGCTTTTTAGCAACTTGGCTTAAGAGGGTTGGAGCATTGGGTTTCTATAGTGCTCTAGTTTCTCTCCCTAAGGACTTATCTGTATGTGATAACCTAGGACCTATAGTACAACCTTGAGAGCTATGGCTCTGGCTTTGGCTTTAGCTAAGTAAACTGAGCTTTTTTAGCTAGTCAGTGGTTACCGAAAGGCACAAAAGGATAGGCCTAGGTTGCAGAATGGCTTCTTGTCTCTCAAGGTGTGTATAGCCTGCGCGGAATGTGCCACTCTGTTAGAGGGGCTTCATTCGCCTAGTTGCTAAAACCTTGCTGCTACTAACTTGTTAGAGGGACTTTTGAAAGGCTTCATAGTGAACCCTACTAACCTTCCTTAGAAGTGAGTCAAGAGGCTCACGACCTCGGGCAAAAGGACAAATCATGACTCATGGATAAAGATGTGCAACCTCTATAGAGTGTCTTAAAACTATTATAACAGCCGTGCTCATGGTCATGAGCGGCCTGGACTCCTGATGGAATAGATGGACAGTAATGATTATTGTTTGTTTCTATACATTATTCTTGTTTACATGATCATGTGGTTATTTGGGCTTATGCTAAA